GGAATTGTCAGTTCAGTGATTCAGAACAAAAGAAACTGGTAGATCATAATCTTTATTATAAATTCTGAGTGTCATCCTCAGGACAAACTGTTGTTTCCAGTTATAATAAATATAACATCCGTTTTCTTGTCTGTAGAACGGATGAAACGGCAATTTATTGATTTGGAAGTAAAGTCACATTCGGAGTTCTCGCCAATGTTCTGGCGATAACAGGCGGTAATTCCTGCCATGTCCTGACAGCTATCAACTCGCAAAATATGATTGGCTCTTTGAATTTGGGATTCTATAAAATCTGCATTGTTTAACCCAGAACTATGAACTGTCCCCACGCTAAAATTTGTCTCTATATGATTAGTACTTCAGTGTGGGATTGGACGCTATTAGTTATGGGCGTAAATAAAGCTTATTTTCAATGAAATACCTGCCGATCGAGTTCATCGCGGAACGCTCGTAACTCTGATTCCTTTTTCTCAAGCGCCTCGAAACACAGAACGTCGTTTTCGCGGTTCTCTTCTAAAAGAAGCAGTCCTTTCTCCTAAATTGGCAGGCGTTGGTTGGTCCGATCGATATTAATTATGACACACGGGACAGATTACCGTTCTGTCATTTTCTTGTCTGAGCTGCATCAACTCAGCTTGGATCTGGTCTTGAAACGCGACTTCAAGATTTGGGCCGTCGTCGGCTTTGGTTCCTTCATGCGGTCTGACGGCTTTGCAGCTCTGCTCCTTCGAGCGTCTGTCTTTAGCCAAGATCTGAAACAGACAAGAACTATTGACTGGGAGAAAAATAGACCATAAAGACAAAATTCTTCGCTTTAAACCGTACTTTAATTATCACAACTGGTAGTCGGTTATTAAGTGATTAGTCAGTGATTAAGACAGATTGCAGCTTCAACGGATGCTTGCTTCGGACAACATGGTCGTACCTCTCTTTCTTTTCGGCATTACTACACCAGGACACCCTGTTGACCCTGTTGTCGGCCAGCCACTGCTACGTGCTGCCTGTTTTCTGGTTGCTTCAATCGGAGCAATGTTGGGTTTATTCCTTTGTCAAAGGAATTAGAGGTTAAGAGGTATTTTTCGTGATTCCGAAAGCATGAGCAAAGTTCGAAATCTACCTTTTGCCACAATGTATACTACTATTCCGCATGACTAAGCTTCATGACGAGGGAAATCAAAGACGGGCGAAAGAAAGACAAGGTTGTGAGGTTCATATTCAGTGAATGGTATCTTCTTTTGACATTTAATAGATTTAGAAGTGTATAAGAAGTCGTGGTGGCGGGTTTTATTTATGCCTTGCTGAATGTAAAAACCTTGAAAGATATGGCATCTGGTCAATTCGAGGCACGTACGGAAACGTAATAGGACAAATCAAACGCCTTGCAGAAAGATGGGGCGATTTCACCTATGGCTTCCAAGGATTACTGTGGCAGAAGAAAGCACAAACGAAAATATGAAAGAGCATTGAGACCTTCACAATCTTCTGACTACTAAATACTTGTTGATAAAGCCGGTCTATCAAATCACAGTGAGAAATGTGAGCGAGTCGTATCTGTGATTGTAAGGCTGAAAGAGAACAATACTCAATGTTGAGAAATTAGCCTACTGTAATTTTCTAAGAACTTTTACCAGTAGCAAATTAAACCTCGGCTTAATTTCTTCTTAATTACTTAAAGCATTTTATCTGGTACGTAGCTCATCCAAAGCAGATTTCACTATGAACTGCACAATCCACTTTCTTCCTAGTTGTCTGGGGAGATTTAGGCAGGCCATGACTCCATCGTATTTGAGCACCTGTTCTGCAAAATTTCAGAGCCTCATGGTGTTTATGGCAAACTATGTGTCAGATGTTGGTCCTACGTCTATGCTACCGAAAAAACATTAAAATTTGTTAAATGGCATATAACTTCTCAAAGATTTTTATGTCCGATTTAGTGGTAAATAACATGATGAAAAAATGCGGTATTTTGTTCCAGGATTCAGCAGTACTTGTACTCGTAACTCGTTTATGAACGGCGTAGTCACCTTTTGGATAGTCTCGTACTCGTTGAAACTTCTAGCGTTTGAAATGGCCAGCTGTTCTGATTCTGCTTGATGCCTTGCGATTTGTTTCTTCAACGTTTCTACCGTGGTTTGCCCTTCTTGAATCTGAAACTCTGAAACCGTCAGTTTAAAACGGTAGAGTACAGTTTAAAGTTACATCGGTTGCCATCAATCCATATTAATATGTCGTATTGTGGGGACAAGACGACAACCTTCAAGTGGTGTTCTTGTCACTATTGCGAAAGTACACTAATGTTTAGCAGTACAACGAATGTCTTCCCTGATAGCCGAACGTTGCGAAAGCAATCTCTCGGCTAGACTAGCAACAAATCTAAAGGGTGCTTCTTGGAATCAAGCATGTAAACCAGAACGAGATAAACCCAATGTTCTTATGAGGGTCGCAGAAGAAAAACAAGTAAACCAAACGATCCTCATGGGGCCATAGACGAAGAGTGAAGAAATCCAACAGTCTTTATGAGGGCCAAAGATATGAAGCTGCGGATCACACGCTGAGCATATTTCAGCTGAACGTCGAAGGCATCTACTATGCAAAATGCGAATATCTATCAAGGACGTTAGAAGAAGTCAAAATTAACATCGCCATTCTGCAAGATGCGCATATCGAATATGAGTGCAAAGCAGCCGCATACAAAATTGCTCGGTTCAGTTTGGTCACTAATACCTGTGACTCCAAAGATGATCTATAGCTACATATGCCAGATTAGACCTCAAGAATGCCGCTGTGGTAAACAGCAGCGAAAACAGGCGAAATAAATATTCTCGAATATACTACTGTGACAGTCGGAGAAATCGCTATAATAAACATATATAAGCGTCTCGGAACCAACTGGCCAACACCCCTATTACCAACGATGCCCCACCCAACTGTTAATGCGGGCGACTTTAACGGCTACCATACTTCATGGGGTTACACCGTGGAGAACTAACCGATTGAGCATCAGCAGCAGGTATACACTTCTGCCACTACGCTAAACAGCAAGGCGCATTCAGATCACCAAGATGAAAAATTGACCCAAGCCCGGACCTTTGTTCCACTTCCAAAGACAGCAGTGGCATTCCGCTTTCTGTTGCCAGGACAGCGCTTGGATTCCTACCAAACAACAGCACCACCCTGTAGTGTTCTGAATCTGTCTTCAGGTACAGCTAGTTAATTCCGCTACACTACATCGCTGGAACTTCTTAAAGCAAACCGGTCAACGTACACCGGCGAAGTCGAGGCCCGCATTCAACGAGTCTTGCATATGAAAAAATCATTTATCATTTTTGGTTGAATATTGACCTCTGCTGCGACATACAACATCCCTCGTGGATACCGTAAAACCTACAGACCTCGTTGGTCGAAGGAGAATGTGGAACCTTAAAAGGAGTACAAATGCCGAGGATCTCGTGAACCTGCAGCCGTTCTCGTCGAATCCTTGAATTCAGAGCGGCAGAAACGATGGCGGAAGACTGTGGAAACGCTGGATTTCACGCATTCCAGTCGCAAGGCATGGGCACTGAATGATACCTCAGAAGTATATGATGTGTCACTGACTGATGTGGTAGAAGTCATAGTCTTTTCTACCTCGTCACAAACGGATTCGTTTGTGCGAAATACTACTTCCTATACTTAAGTTCACCTTTCGGTGGGCTGTGAGATTTTGTGCCGATTGCATGAGTGGCTTTCCAAACAGCCACTGATGAATGAAAAAGTATCTTACTCTGTTCAGTAGCACCTTAAATTGAGTGTCGAGCCGAGAGACGGATTCCTCGCCATCCTTGTTTCTCATGCAGCTCGTCTCCAGCATTGTCCTGCTACGCTGCAGGTCCTTGTTCTCGCTGCTGAAAGAAGCACGGTAGAAGCAGAGCACGGAATCGATTTCTGGACAGACCGTACCTTATGGCGAGGAGCAGCTGGTCGTGCTTCGTCGTCTCTTTGTTCAGCGACTCTTCAGCGAGCTGTAATCGCCTCTGCATGGTCTTCGACGACGTCGAAGCGCGCTAAATTGCAATTGCTCGTATTGTTTTTCGACGGTTTCACGTGTCTTTAGATGTTTTATAAACGTACGTCGATTTTGTCCCTCAGTTCGTGCAGACGAGCTTGCTTGACGTCGCACTGTTCCTGGAGCTCCTTCAAATTCAAAAGCAGGTGCTTCAACTGCTTCTTCATTTTCTTCGAAGACATCTCGACAAGCTGCTTCGCTTGGTCCTAGCTTTAGATGAAAATTACGTTAAGTACAGCAAACGCCACACGGTTAAAGTGATGTTCAGGCAGGAATAATTTTTTCGGTGTTAGCGAATTTCTAACTGTGCAGTTAATTTCGGCTCGTATCATATATCTGATCTAAAACTTCTCAAGCATTTTAGACACTTATAACGGTTTATACTTCCAATTTTAGTCTTTCAGTTATTAGAGCTTCCGTCGTGAGGGAACATTGCTAAGGCAGCAATGTCTGCAATACGTTGGAGATGCGTTCCTAATACTCGCAAATATTCTCAAACAGACTATTGTGCAACATATGTCATATCTAATTAATAAGCTGGATTGGTTCGAACGATTTCCGGTGCAATTAAACTCTAAATATTTTGGAACACCGTTCTACAACTTGGTATCCTAGGTTGTGAGCCACTTCTCCAAGTCAAGTAGTTGCAACTTGCTATTTTGATGCATGGTATTATGACCCGCAGTCGAAAGACAGGCTACCTTCGTAAAATAATGCACTAGAGCGCAGAAATGAAGTCAGACAACTGGGGCATATCCAGCGTGAGGATTATGCACCCTTAAACACGTGGAATAGAGCTTTAATCACTGATGTGGGGCCGGTACCACTGAAAACTGATACGATTTGCAGGTTGCTGTACAGTACGAAATTCAATGCCTATAACGTCGTAAATCACGGTATTCTCATAATGCAAATGAAAACCTTGCCAAAAGTAAGTCTGTAACTGCTGAAAACGTCAATATTCTTTTCATTTACACGATGGGACGAATTTTGGCACCTTTAATTTCGTTTAGTGAACGGGTGGGGGTGCTGATCTCCACTTCTATGCTATCAGCCAAGAATGCCTTGTTTTTAAAAGCAGAATCGACAGCAGCCATGTGACAAGCACAGTCTGCATTCACCTTTACCTATTCACTGATTTATCAGAGTGGTAATCATTTGTCAACCTAGAAAAGAATAAAGGCCAGTGATCCTGACCGCAGCTGGAACCCAGCACCTCTCGGTTCTCAGTCCGACCTCCACCGAACCGAGTAACGCCGCTCTGAAGAAACACGTGGCAACTTCTTGGAGGGATTGGCAAATTGTTGGAGGGAATTCTTA